ACTACTACTACTACTACTAGTACTTGTAGTAGTACTAGTAGTCACACCACTGACTGGCATGACAATCGTGGGGTCCCCGCTCACGTAACAACACAAGTGTTCGATTCAGATCATTCGCCCACCCATAGGGTGACACCACCGACTGGCGATACGGACGTGGGGTCCCTCTACACGTAACAAAATATGTGTTCGCTTCAGGTCGGTGGACGATACACCGCTGACTGGCATTAAGGTCCTGGAGTCCGGGGCTTGGGCACTGCAGAGAGTCTCACGTAGTCTTTGGGCTTGGGCACTCCAGCGAGGCTCACGGTAATCTCTGGGGTTGGGCACTCCAGGGAGTCTCACGGTAATATAATGTAATATGATATAATATGAGATGATATAATATGAGATGATAAGATATGATTTTATATAGTAAAAGGTGATACAAGAGAATATCATAGAACAGAGAAGAATAGAGTAGAATAATACAATATAATAAAATTGAAAACATAATGTAATATAACATAATACGATACGAAAGAATATAACAAAGTATAATATGATATTATGTTATACAATACAATACACTATAATAAATACAATATAACCTAACATCATTAAAAAAAATGCAATACATTAACGACATAGTATGATATAATATACTATGATATTACATAATATAATAATATAACATAATATAGCATAACATAACATAATATAACATCATATAACATGATATAACATAGTATAACATAATATAACAGAATAAAACAGAATATAACATAACATACTGAAATAAAATATAATCATAATACCGATATTTAAAAATGATAATATATTAATAATAATAATAATAACCTAATCGAATAATATGACAAAATGACATGATATTAATTATATATGACAATATGACATATTACAACATCAAACATTCTAACGTAGTATAAGTTATAACACAATCTGACGTATGATGTACTGAATCTCCTGCGCCCACCATGGCCACGGCTTGCCTGCTGCCACGCACCACCAGGGACAAATGGAAAAACAACTCCCGAACCAAATGGAAAAAAAAAACTCCCGCAAAAATAGTGACACCAGGCATTGGCCGCACAAGTTTGCCAGCACTAACGTTGCTACAGACAAGCCTTCGTTGCTCACTACACTACCAGCTTCCTGCACATTGCTCTGCTTTCGGATAATGCCACGAGAGTGCAAAATGTCATGTTGGTTCCATATGGTTCCATTCGTCCCATGTCGCGCTTGATGTTTCGTGTGCACGATTTCCAATGGCAATCTTCGATTATTCCACTATTTACGTTTTCCAGGATTCATGGTGTTGACAGGACCGGGCATCTGAATACTACCGTCAGCCCCACCCATCCTGCATGGCCTTTATGGCCTCCAGCAGATTGGCATCCTCACTGAGTTCCAGCCTTTGTCGAGAATACGCTTTGAAGCCTCACAGGCCCTCGAACGGTGTAAGATATGCACAATTCACTGCTTGCAAGACACCACAGAAGTAGACCACCTCGAGTCCGCAGTATCGCCCAACCAGCCTGGCCGACAATTCAGACATCTTCAACAGATTTGAAACGCACCGAGGTCAAGGCCAAGACATGAGTCAAATGATACCGACGAGTTGCTGGCACTGCGAAAAGCTCCTCCCCATCAACATAGCGAACCGCCGGTGAGAACGGTGCCTGCCACAGCCAGCGAGTTGCCGGAAACGCGGTGAGCACAGCGTGCTCACTAATTGACACCGCAGTATGCACAGTAGCTGCGCGTGCTGATGGCTGGTACAGTGCGAAGCTACTGCTCCCAGTTGGTGTCTAACTACATGCTTTTCTTTGCTGCTCGATACGCTCCTAATCGTTCCTACGCAGGCACATGAGGGATTTGCCAAGGGGATGTCCTGATGTTTACAGGTCTTGCAGCGTTACTAAGCAACATGCATAATTCAGGGTCGCCAAGACAGCCAGCGCAGGACTGAGCCCACAGTGGCTGAACTTAATTACAGAATGAATTAAGGGATTCTAGGGCGACAGGATCGCCAACCTCAGGCGATGTCATCGGCGGAGCTAGATCCCCAGCCCCAAATCCAAAGTCAAGCCCCCTTTCTCGAACGGCTGTCGTCTATCGTTCGGACGACCCGCACATTCTTTACTTGCCCACAATGTCACTACTTCTCTGCTTGTTCAACATTGTTCAACACTGTTGTCTGCCTAGCCGCGACTGACAACAAAAAGCATGACGAATGATCGGATCGTTCTGAGCGAATGAAGCTACAGTCATTCAGTCACTAGCAACTGCACCGGCTACGGAGCAATAGCTCGGTTCCGGCTTCCAAGCTGTACGAGATATTTCCCGCAAAGGCCTGATACAGGTAGACCTTGCACTTTGCACATTGCGTTCCAGAGAGCCTCAAGCAAAACAAAGCAACGCTCAGAAAGCCCAAAAAGGCAGTTTGAGCTTCGGACAGTAGGTCGAAAGTCGGCCTGGCAGACACGAGTGTGACTCGACCATCACGCTTTTGCCAAAACGAAGAAGTCATACATTGCCTTGTCTGGCCGTTCGTGGTTGGACTCGTCTGCTCCTCAAGAGCTGAAGGATGGCCACGAATTCTGCCGTGCTCGAACCCGTGCGTGTTTAGAAAGCGCTCTTCTCCTAAGCGCCGCACATTGGTGCCGGGAGGCCCTGTGCCGTCCCCGGTCTGCCTGACTGCTTGCCTCGAGGCCACCGCAGCTGTCTCCACCTCACGACATCAAAAAAAGATACTCTGTTGCTTGACTTCCACGGCACTTCGGCTCGAGTCATGCGCTCGCTGGATTGGTTTCCCAACCTCATCTCTAAAGCGTTCGCAAACTGTTCACATGGCCTCAAAGCCCGATTTCAGCGTCTTCCAGTCAGGCGGCGGCGGATTGGACGACGTGAGCTCCGGGAAGCAAAGCACTGAACCTTTATCTTTGCAAAGAGACGAACCCCGGTTCAGAAAAGCCTATCATGACTCATGTTATACATATCACACTGTGTCGCATCGTCTGGCAGCCGAGGGTCAGGCGAGGATGGCATTGTAGACATCTTAGATAACAGAAGGTCTGGCCGCATGAAAACTCATTGCCCAAGACCCATGCAGAAAGCACCAAATGCGCAAAGCAAGCTATCGCTAATCGACCAAATGCAACATCCCGAATCTGGGGCCAGCACTGCCGGCACATGCACTTGTCTATGAGCTGTTGTGGGTGAGGTGCCAAACACCTGCGTGCCGCGCGCAGAACAGAACTGCATCACAGCTGTCATTGCACAAGAGCAGCCTGTGGAGCATGCAGCTGGAGCGAGAAAGGCTGTCTTGCAACCTTGGCGAGACGCGCGACGTCATGGAACGCACGAAGGTGGAACGCGAGTTCATCGATGTCGTGCATGTTGCGAGGCTTTCGCAGGCTGCGCAGCATAGGCCACACTCGGCCTTTGCCACCATGTCATCCCTGTGAGCACTCGCAAGCACGTATATTGGGAGCTCAGCCAAAAGTACTGCGTCGTCCCTGGGACTGCCTTGCAAGAGTCTGTTGTCTCAAAAGGTGCTCGGCACTAGTCAACCGCAAGCAACGACAGACGACAGGAGCCAGGATCTGGCCTGCGTGGGCGACAATGCGCTCAGAGGCGTCAGAGGGGCAGATGTAAAGCGCACAGCTCGCTGATTAAGTCCTGCAAAGCAGTCACATACCTTGCGCCGGAGCTTCACACTTGTCCTCCAGGAAACATGCACGGTGTTGAAACCGGCGTCGACCACCTCACCTCCAGCGCATGGCAAAATGCGAACATATGCGAATGCAGACAGCAACGTGACAGCAACAGCAAAACCCCCTGGAGCTCCACCTCAGAGGCATTCTCCAGTGAAGTCCCTTCGAGCAAGGTGCATCACACCGCTTTGTCTTCAGGCAGTTTGCCCAACCGAGGCAGCAACCATGCTGAGCCTGTCATAAGACGCGCCAATGCCAAACATCACAGGACGGTAGAGGTGTGTTTCAGCCTTAGTCACCACTACACTAGTACCCTGCGATCGCTGCCTCCGAGCCGACAACTTGGAAGCAATCCGTATTTTCTCAGGAGTAACATAGAAGTCTAGCATTCGCAGATGTTTCCGAGTCTCCAAGATATCCAGAGACTACAATTAAACGAGCCTTCCTGCTACTTGCAGAAATTAGTACGTCAAATTTGTCCGCAACAGGCGCACCTTGGCAGTCTCGACCGCAGAGCGGAGTTCCGAACATCGCTGCCTAGCTCGAGCCACAGCACTTCCAGAGCCACGCAAATCTGCTGCCCGAGCCCACGCAGCCAACTGCAGCAACTTGCGTGTCTCTGCGATGTCCTTCACGCTGGAAAGCTATGGACATGGACCGCATATGACCGCATGCCTGCGTTAGCGAGAAGACAAAGCAAGCTCCTGCGAAGTGTCAGTATCGTCTTGCGAAGAGGTCAGTGCCGCCATAGCCACCGGATGCCAGCCGACTCTACATGATGGCGGGTTTCACTTCACTGAGTCATATAAACTCTGACTGCTGCCAGGCATGATGGAAAAGCTCAACTTCATCTTGATACTCTCACAGCTGGATGCATTCGCCCAGCGATCCAAAGCCACCCTGCTACCCCACAACTCGGATTATGCACGTCAATGCTCGCGGCGCCACTGCCTCAGTCGTCTCGTTGGCACATCGCCTCACAAGACAGGTTTGTTTTCTCTTGGCTTGTCATGGCAGCATGCTGCCCCATGTCGCGGCCGTCGGAACAGGTTGGCAATGTTGACTGATGCTGCTTGCGACACAGCTCTACGGGATGCTCCCATGCTTTATGTCTACACTTACCAAGTCTCTGCATGCGGGATTCGCCTCGCATCTTGTTGGCAAAATCCAGGCTTCGACGCACTTGCCACCGGCACGCTGCGCTCTTCTTGGACACGCCTCCGGGAACACTACAAGGTTGGTGTGGGAGCAGTGCCGCTGGGCAACATTTACCGTAGGCAAGCCCGGACGGACGTGCGCTGTATACTGACCACTCGGGCACGCCTCACTACTCCTTTGCCCATGCCATCCGTGTCATCCGACTTTGGCCTGGGTGAGGGCTCACCGCGGACACCGTGTAGTCTCGCGATCTCTCCCTAGGAGTGTCATTCTAGTTGCTCTGGAGTCTTGCGCGTGGACATGAGCTCAAAGGCCTTGAAATTGGTTCGCCGATGCCATCTTCACATGGTGGCAAAGACACCTTTGGAAGCGTCGTTTGAAGCTCACGGAGATGGCTGAGGAATGAGATTACAATCACAATATCACCGAAGGTGCTGTCTTCGCAGTATAGAAAAGGAGATTGGCCCGCTGTTCCTGCACTCAGCGTTTGGGTGCTGCACAATGACAACATCGAAATACATCGAACAGCAACTTGGCAAGCTTGCGTTCGTAAAGCAGAATAAGCAGAGTAGCTTTTCAACACACTTTCCCAAAACCACCTTGCTCACTGTACGACTTACAAGTCAAACAAAAAATGCCCGGTGGTTCTGCTCCTTGACCACGGACCATGGCACTTGTGACACCTGGTCGTCGTCCACCCGGTGCCACCTAGTTCCAGTGGCTCGCGTTTCATACAAATACTCAGAAAACAACTCGCAAAAATGTCACTCTGAGCATCGTACAAGCCCCCTTGTCTGTCTTTGACCTGGCAAATCTGCTAGACCGACCCTGAGCATACACACATCTCCACCGCAGCTAGCCAACGGCTGAGAACCTCACAAAGGCAATGTAGTGTCCAAAGAAGGTCGAACCATTGAAATCCTGGTGTACCTGTGGCGAGTGAAGTGCGAGCTGCTCGCAGCGATCCGCCTTGAGGGCACAACGATCCCATAAAGCTGGTAGCTTCCAGAGCAGCTCTCCTGGTCACTGGTTGGCCCTTCTTCGTTCGGCTCGTTAGCTTGAACTAGATACACGGCATCCATGTTGGGCATCCCAAGAAATTATTCAAGAATCTGATGCCGAGATACTGCTGGAGTTTGCTACGTTCGAGATATCGCACTTTGCAGCGGGACTGCATACAAACATCTGCTTGCACTCAGAATCACGGCCTCCACGAAAGGTGCAGCATCAAGCTCCTGAGGGAACCTGTCAAGCTGGAGATGGATTCTACTACAATTGCTTGCACTTGTAGGCAGAGGCAGGCTCGCGCATAGCAGGCCGAACAAAAAAAATTACGTGTTGACCCGTCAAGCTGGACGCATATTTGCCTCCGTATTTCTAACGATTTCTCAGAACTTTCCAGCCACTGATCAGGCCCTAGGCAAAGCTCCATTGATTTGTCTTGGCTTGCACTGGCCCTTAGCATGCTTTTCAGTTCAGAATCATGACTCAGCATCATCACATCCTAAACATTCACAAGCGGGGTAAGGTATTCAATCGCAATGTGCTGCAGATTTTACTGTCGAAATCCAATGGGCCTATGAAGCAGCAGATCAGGAAGACTTGCAGATTCGTTTGCCTGTTCCGCTACACATGCTGGCATGGATTTGCCATAATATTGCAGCAGGAAGGGCCAGTGACGGCCAGTGGTCATCCTACCGAGCTCCCACTTCCGACAGTACCGCTGGTTTAGGGGGGAAAGGTACTCGGTCCCTTCCTTCCCTTTCCGAGAATGCCGAAGAGTTTGTTCCACAGCCGGCACCGGTTTCCGAAACCTAAAGCCTTGCAACCTTCGCAGGCCTGGAGTGACTGGAGTGGGTGCACGGAACCATGGCTCAGGGCATGCCAGGATCAATAGAGCAGCAGATTTGCCTACGTTCCTGAATCGGGAGGACGAAACACAGTGCGGGGGCCTTCGGCCATGTAAAGAGCTCTCCGCGCTAGTGGCATTGTCACGCTAGAAGACGAAGTGAGACGTCCAGCCACGAGCAAGTCCTTAAAGGAGACGCAGCAACCGCAGCAGCAGAGGCAGGTCGGGCGAAACCGAGCTGCTTTCATCGGTTGAGATGAAAGGTCAGGGCACTGCTTTCTCCCCAACATCAGTTCGGAGTCTACATGAGTCTACATGCGAAACCGCAAAGCCACTGATCCGGCATGAGAGGGGACTGAGGAAGCGAAAAGGTCGCTGAGGAGTCGTCCGGCTTCGTGACAGAACAGGACGATGGGCGACAAAGTTTACGAATGAGAAGAAGCGGAACCGCTGCTGCAGAATGCTGCAGATGTGACCGTAAGACCTGTAGCCGACGGAGGTGTGGTGGAAGCAGAAAGGGCTTGTAGGACGGATGTCGGCTGGGTTGTCAGTCGTTACGGCGAAGTCCCGACCTTGGCTGAATGTTCGGCTTGAAGCTGCATCTGCTGCTTCATGCAGGTGCTGAGCAAATACTGACGTGTTGCTGATGATGTATGTACATCGAACCCCGTGTTGAATATGTGGAAGGACTGCTGAGATCAAATGCCGACGAGAATGGGTACAGTAGGTCGGGTGGAGATTCAGGTAACAAGACAAGTACGTTCAGTTGGAGGCCGCTGGTGAGCACGAGGTTATCGCTGAGTTCCTGGACAAGGTTGGTTGGCAAGATGTTCGTGGCTGAGCTGCCGCGGTTGGTGTCGTCCTCGAGGGTTGCCTTTCTGCAGGTTACAAAGAAGGGCCGCGCCCTCCCCCGGTGAATGTGCGCAGCTCATTTTTGAAGTGGGCACGCATGCACATCTGAAACATGTCCATAGGGATCGACCGTTCTGTGGCCACACACTGGCTGATGTAGCTAGCTTCTGAGCTGCGCACTGCACGGCACGATTGATCTTGCCGAATCGGCTGGAATCCTGAAAAAAGCTCATGCTTGAAGAGGCGGTGCCATGCTCTGGAGTTGTGGCCTGCCGCCGATCGATGTAAAACACGAGGTTGTTCGGGGGGCGTTTGATGTATGCGCTTCGCACACACCCCGTCCTGCAGAACTGCAGTCTGAGATACTCTGAGAGCCGCCTGAGCCTGAGTTCGCTGCTGTCTGCACTTCTCGCACTTGTAGCCGTCGATGCGCTCCAGCCTCGCGAGTCAGCTTGCGCAGCGAGCGCCGACGGAAGCACGGCAGCAATGCCATGCAATGCTGCGGCGCTGGGGCCTGGAGAAGTTTCTGAGCAGCTCTTCCAGAGTCGTCCCGGGAATGTCCTTGGGGGTTTCCTTCCCCTTGCATCTGGACTGTCCCACGTGCTGAGTACCCGGCAGCCCGACAGAATCCACCACCGCTGTAACCAGAGTGCCTCGTACAGCCGCCCCAAACGACTGAAGCAGCAAATTGAGCAGAATATCTGGAGAACGAGCGTAAAGCTGAAGTTCATGAATTGTGCAGGCAGCTCCGGATTTAGATACGGTTTCATCAAATTTGTCGCGGGCACGGCCTCGAGGCGTGCTTCGACAGGTCTCAAGTAGTGGGTCGAATGTGGCACGCAAACTTGCTGCTGTACATGATCAGCAAAAGCCGCGGTTCCTTTGGAACACGGCATGTCGAGCTACCTCAGAATCAGGCAGATGCAGGAAACAAGACTTCATGCGAGAGAACCTTTAGTCCTGACACAGCCGAGGCACGCTGCAGCGCTATTCGAGCGAAATTGCTGAATAGAGCAGAGAGCATCCGGCTCTACTAGCGTTCTGTATAGAAACCTTGCGATGCGAACACCCGTCCGATGAAGGTGCCAAAACAGCCTGCCTTTTGCTGCTTAGTCTCACAATCCCACTGGAAAGCGTCATGGAAAACAGCATCCTCAGGAGATCAGAATGCAGCGGAGAGTGCTAGGGTTGTTACATCTATGCTTGTCTACATACAGATGTAGAAAATATGAGGCGACGTGGGAACGCAGCCTGCTAGATCCGGAATATACAACTGTCCAATCGGTTGCGAGGAGGATGTGAGGAGGCGACCCTTTCCCAAAGGCCTGCAAGCTCCTGTAACAGTACAGATTGCCATAGGAGAGCCAAGGCATGGGAAAGGTGTCCACTCCAGCGATGGTTTAAATGGGGAAACCTGCAAACACACCTGACTACTCGCTTGTAATAACATGAGATCTCGTCAGGACGCATGGCTTGCATGGCATGCGGGATAGCAGCGGAGTAAGCTGAGCTCTCGGGACTTCGCACGACTGAGCTCCCCTGTTGTGAAGCCAAGGTTGCAGCACGATCACGAAAACGATCTCATAGAAGGGAATATCAGGGCAGCCCCTGTCAGATGGCTCCCGGCTCCCAGTATCTCTCTTTTTGCTTTCTCTCTCTGTGTCTCTCTCCCTCTCGCTCTCTCGCTCTGTCTGTCTCCGCCATGCTCTCTCCCTTTCTCTCTTGCTTGCTTGCTCGGGGTACAGGTCCGAGGACCCGCGCCAAGCGCCCGCAAGCGCCCCTCTCTGTTTGGTGGGAAAGGACTGTGGGGTCGTTGGGCGTCTTTGGGCGGTGTTCGCCCCCCAAGGTCGGTTCGGGCGGTGGTGTTTTGCTGTCGTAGACAACTTCTGCTGAAAGAGCACAAGAACAACAAGGCTCTATCTCTTCACTTCACTTCACTCAAGGGGTCCAGGCAGCGTGCAAAGCCCCCCGCACTGAAAGGTGTGCCCCTGTTGCTGGGCTTGGTCGGGGAGCGTGAAGACACCACGAAGAGCTCTGAACAAAAATATGGTTCCATCCCTCTCTGTCTGTCTCTCTCTTCTTCCACACAGCCAAGAGGAAAGCTCTCGCCCCTCCTGCGCACGAATGCGTCCTGGTCGCCCTGGTCTCTGCGGTGAAAGCACGAGATGAAATCTTTCTTTCTTGCTTTCTGCCGGGCGTAGGGGTCCGCTAGGGACCCTCAGGCCTTTGGCCCGCCCGACCACCCGCTGTGTTAATGAGTGGCCGGTTTTGGGGTCCCAATGACCGGGGCAACGAGAGACACTGTTTGTCCCATACGGTGATATAGCAAGGCCCCGACCCTGAACCTAGTGACCCCGTTGGCCTCTTCTCCGCGCCCCTATGGCACTCATCAGGGGCCTGCTTGTCTATCACCGTTGTAGAGCCCTCAATGCATGTGGGGAACCGGATTGCAAAACACGATGCCGATAGAAGAATCATCCCCCGGTGAGATGAGGTCTCTCTCTCTGTCTCTCCTTGCTTTGCTCGGGGTTCTCTCTTTTCTTTCTTTCTGCTGGGCTTAGGGGTCTGCGTTCCCGACCCTCAGGCCATTGGCCCGCCCAACCACTCAATTGTTATTGAGTGGGTGGCTTTGGGGTCTCTCTGACCGCAGTACAAAGGAACTTAGTGTGCTCTTTGTTTCCAACTGAGAGCCCCCCAACCCTTTACACTAGAAACCCCAACCCGCATGGCTACATCCGGAAGTCAGTGGGTTCCTCCCTGTTCTGCAGAGCCCCCATGCATTTGGGGGATGACTGTCAACACTGCACAGCCATCTAGGAAGCAAAAACTGCGTCATCCCCCGCAATGGTGGCGGGGCAGAAACACAACGTGAGAGCGTACGAACACTACTGGTTTATTGACCCTTGTTCAGAGCTCGTTCCCCAACTCCATTGGGGTGTAGGGTTTAGGGGTTAGGGTTTATAAGGCTTAGGGTTCAGCAGTTCTGGGCGTGAAGAGTCTAGTCCAGCCATTCTTCCGACCAACGCCCACCTGCCCAAAGAATCCCACCACATCCGAACATATTATTAAAAAAAAACGCCACTTTGTTACGGAGCGTTTCCC